AGCGACTTCTCAGGTGAGCGGGGCGCATATCGCGCCTTTCGGTCCCTCGGTCGCGCGGTGCTGGTTCGCTTGCTGCCACGGCAAGTTTTGGGCGGTGAGGTTCTGACTCGGCGGCTCACACCCGGAAGCTTCATACTTACCGGTACGCGGGTAGTTCTATTTACGCCCTACTCTTCGGAGCCAAGCGGGTTATGGTCGCGAATCACTAACATTCACCTCCTCGGGATCACTCGTCGCAGGCTCCTGCTGGTCAATGGCCACTTGGGCGTGGGTCGTTTGGCTGTCTGGCCCTTTTGGCGGGACTCTGCTTTTCCTCCTGGCTTCCACGGTCTAACTTTGTTCTTTCCTTCCTGCACAGGCGGCGTTTGGGGTCACTCATGTTATTCCCCGGGATTGGGGGGCTTCCATACGACCGTCACCGCACTGTGGCTCCCTTTTGGCACACCTTAGCCTTATGCCTTTTGTTGAGTTGGGCATGTTTCATGGCGTGGTTCGTTTCACGCGAAATCTTATTTGTCGCTGTTGTCGTAGTCCGTTTGCTGTCACTTAGATTTTCCGCTTTACTGGACGGCCACGTATGTCCGCGTGCGTCGTTTGACGGGTAACTAGTGGTGACCTCTGATAACCTTGTCTCTTCATTGTCGCACACGGCACGGTTTTCTGTCTCTGTCTTGCGCTCACCAACACCAGCCAAATTTATTGGCTAGCCTTTCTACTTCATTTGCAGCCGCTCAAATCTGAAGGGTCTGGTCCCCTCCCCCTTCACCCCTCTTCCCCAGCCTCGCGGGTTGGGTCTCCCGCTGCCTGCTCCTATCTATACCAACCATCCCCACTGTCAACGTATAGCCCTTCCACCAAGGGCAACGCCTTGCAACCACTGTTCTTCATTCTCTGCAGTTCGACCTTGTCTTCTGCTTCGGTTGGCCCTCTAGCTCCACTCGCGCCTCCGCGCTGTCGCTCCGCGGGCCGTCTCTCCATTTCTCCCGCTTTCGAGGCCGCGCCTATTGCACCCGAGGAGATTTCTTCTCGCGTTATCCATCTGTTCCTTCTACACTCATACTTCTCCTTCCCTTCTTCCCCTTGCCTCCTTTCGTCGCTGAATACATTTGTGATGTCCACATGTCTACTTTTTGTTCCCAGCTCACCGCTTGTATTCATTCGCACGGGACCACCAGTATGACACTCCGTCACTCTTGTGACGCCCGATGTGTCCTTAGCACGTATCTCTTCGGAGGCAGTCCAGTACCGGGTGGCTACGGCCTCGGTAATCAATCCCGGCCCATAACGTGAGGGCCCCGGTGTCTGCCGGGCCGCCGGGCGGGGGGGGCCGGGGGGGGGCGCGCCGGCCGGCCGAGGCCTGCCGGCCGGGCGGTGGGTGCGCTTCCGCCGTCGGCGCACTGGGCCCGCCACTCTGATCTGTTTGTAGTTCCATTGGAAAACGCTATCCTACTAAAGAGCTCTAAGAGCGCGCTGATCACAGTTGTTGATCTCAAATCGGCGTGATTGGAAATCCGGCCTCCGATGGATATCTCGAAGCGCGATGCACATTGGGCAGTAAGTATGAAGCTTGCTTAGGCGCCGATTCGCTTTCTCTTTGAAACGGTCCGCACGCATCAATATTTATACGGCGCGAAAACGTTCCCGCTACGGGTGGTCCAATAACTAAACGGTGGCCTTCTTTTTGGTCTCCGCGATCTGCCTACCTTCTGGCGATAACGTCCACATGACGGGCTGACGTAGCGTTTCCATTTTCGCTGGAAACATTTGGGGCCAGTAAAATCGCTTCGGCAACTACTCTTGCTTTTCGTCGGGCACCTAAGTGTGCGTTCGCGGTCTCGTGGCACACTTTAGTACCGTAGCCTCCGAACACAGCGGGAACAACAAGTGCATGTCATACGCTCGGCCTTTCTTAGGGCTAATCGAGTGCGAAGGGCAACAATCGATTACGTAGAAGTACTTTCTTTCCCGGTCTCGGGTAGGCTTCGTTCTCCGCATTCTTTATTATATTTCCAGCGAGCGTAACTGTCGCTTGGGTTTGTTCGAGAATAAAGCTCATCTGTCCGAGATTTGAATTAATTCTCTTAGCAGGAGGCCTCCATCTGCATTAATTTTCATTGCTCGGCGTCGTTTATTTCCTCGTGCGCCTACGCCCACCTGTCTCTCAGGCCGTAGCTACCCTGCTCTCAACTCTCGTCCGGCTATTCTCGCTAATCCGGTCTCGGCGACGCGCTTCCGCCGGCCACTTTTCGGCGCGTGGGCTTCGACGGCTTCCCGCGCTGCGGCGTCTGCCGGCAGCCCTTGGCGCGCGTGACAACTGCGCT